CAGGGACTTGTTGAGCCCGTGATCCGAATTCGAGACTTTTCTGTTAACAGTCGAACGCCATATCCAATAGCGTTTCACTACGTTGTGTTTGTGTGATGGGGGGAGGGGGGGGGGGGCAGTAGAAGAATAAAAACAACATGTAAGTGTTCAGATTTTTCAGACACCTAATAATATATAACCATATATATTTTCATTATATTTTCATAATTAAGTTTTTTTTGTTTTTAAAAAAGGATGGTGAGGGGGTGGTATACATAACTTGCGAGAGAATGGAGGCTATGCTGGGGGGTGGGGTGGGGGGAATGGTCACTTAAGCGAAGTCTTCCCAGACCGAATCTCCCATAAGCCGCGCTGACCCTTCCGTCTGGTCCCGCAAATCGTTTTAGCGCGGATGTCCAGTCTGGTACCGAAACTCTCGTGTAATCAATTCTACTGTGGGGAATACGCCGCCATTACTGCACCCGGGCTGGATTTCTGCCCTCGATTTTCTGGAAGCGCGAGCTACGACAATGGGAATCAAAACGTCGAGTTCCATCTGTGAAACAAATATTGGGAGACATAAAGCGCAAAGACTTCCGTAGTTAATATTTCATATCAGCTTGGCAAATCGCTTGAAGCGTCAGATGCAATACTCGTAACGTCCATAGACGGTAGTTGATGAGTATTAATATTGATGTATGTCATCCTGGGAATACCTAAGGTCAGGGTGACCCGGACTAAAATCTCGAGCGACTTAAAAAAAAAGAAAAGAAATATCACCCAGCCGCCCAGTCACGATACGATCCGTTTCTCATTTCTTATGCCGTTCATTTTGATGGGGAAGATGGTAAATTGATGTTCAGATGGGGGTTTGGGTAGATCAAGTAGATGGTAAATGGAATCGGAAACAATCTCGAAATATGTCTGTGTGTGTGATTGAGGGTTTGTCGAGGGCTGGGTGAGAGCTGTGGTTGCGTGTTTGATCCGATAGCGATTCCGAGTTATTTTTTTTTTTTAGCAAGGCGTAATTAGCTGTAAAATGGGCGTTGGGCTAGATCTAGTTTAACAAAAATTGTCAGTTGAATGCTTCAGCAACATTCTTTAAATCTTTAGGTGGTTAGTTCTACAATATAGCACAAAAAGTCTTGGGATCATTACTGACAATAAGCGCATCTGAAGAAAAATAACTACAACCATATATTGGTGCTTTTGTGGCACTGGAATCAAATTTTCTGTTTAGAAATATGGGACGGCGTGGCCTAAGCGTTAGAGCGCTAGGCTGCTAACCCGGAAGTCTCCATTATGAATCCGGGTCCAAGTCAATAGAGTCCATGAGTCCACCCAGCTCTGATGGGTACCCAACTCATGTTAGTAAAGGCGGCTGGGTAAAGTGCTGACCTCACCTTCCCTTCATATGCCGAGGTCGAGATACATAATATGAACTCTACTTAATTTGCCCAATAGATCGCTAGGTCTAAAGATAGCTATATTTAGAAAGGCTCATTAAATAGTTCAGCAGCTAAAGTATTTATAAAACGGCTCTCATTTTTGAAAAAGTTTGTTAGTTCAGCTACTAAAAATCTTATTAAATATGCAAAGCCGCAATTAAAGATTTAGCCATCAAATTTTTAAAAAGTTCTAAAAAATGTAAAGCAAATTAAAACAGAAATCGCTGTATTTATTGACTCAAAGTTTATTAAAACAAACGAATGTATTTATTGACTCAACAGAATTTCGGAATTTAAAAAAATCAAACCACAAATAGCTTTCATTCAATTTTTTTTCGTGTAAATGTTTTGACAAGTTCTTTTTAATGACCCCGTGTTTATTTATTACGCAACGAAAATACACCTGAATAAAATATTCATGTTTTCTTTTACCTGCCTTGACTTTATTTTTCTTTAATTGACATGTATTCTTGAGTTCAACAGTTGCATGGGGAAGTTGGCAGATACTTTTCTAGCCCTCGTTCTAATCCTCGATACTTGAAGTGCAACGTTTTTCCCTTTTTTTCAATAATCGCGTGTCAGTTTTGAAATTTGATGATGAGTTTAAAAAGAAACTGAGACTTCGCCTAGAAATCAATACACATTCTCATTAAAAATTAATCTGGCGAATTTATAATAATGAAACCTGACCCTACTCTGTAGCTAGCTGTCAGTGTTGGTGGTCGGGGTAGCTGTTGTTTTCTTCGCTGGTCAGTTCCAAGTTTTGTAAAACTACTTGAGAAGATTTTGTAAAACAACTTCAGTGTATTTATTAACGGTTCTCGTGCACTGTTCAGTATGCATAGTTTGGTAGATGTTATTGTTTACATAAATAGCAGTAGGAAGAGCATGTTTACATGAGCCCACATGATACTGGAAGTGTATGGAATTGATCTTACTCTCAGCTTCCCAACCCGCCCCTGTGTGTCTCAGTCACAAACGGTCCATTTTTACTAGTATTTTATTTTTTTTTAAATCGATTTTTGAAGCAAGGGTTAACGAGTAAAATAAAATTCTTTTTTATACGATAACTAAAGTAGTTTGGGATAAAGCGTGTTAGTTAACAGTGTAGGTTTACCGTTAGAAAATAAATACAGCAGTATGTATACGCTATCTTAAACAGGGTTTCTTCCAGGCATGAAATGGAAAAAAAAAAAAACTATCATTTCTGTAAAAAATATACGTAAACCATAGTTCGCCCCCTCTCCCCCTCAAAAGTTTCAAGTGCCCTCTCCCCACCCCGGATATAAATATATAATAGTTTATTTATAACATTTCGCCAATATTAGACTAAATATATCCTAAGTTAATAGTTTTAATGCAAGTCTACCATACCTTATTGTACCGGCATATAGGGGGCCTAAAAGTTCTTTAGCACACGTTGGCATAAATATTAATGTTTACATAATAAACTAGCTTACATACAGGGCCATAAACAAAGGCAGATGAACACCTAATCATACACGTTTATATAATAACCCAGCTACACAATATACATATCTGCTATAAATAACGGCCTAATTTGCCCGGATGGGTCTCAGGACAATCTAGGCGTTGATTTACGACGATAGAAGAAAAAAAAACAACCTTTCACCTTTAACCCCCAGATCGACTTCCTGTTGGAGCAGGCTCGACTGAGATGGAAATTTTGCTATTTGTCTTCATCAGCACCCGTCGCTCACTATAATGTTACATTCGTTTATTTCTCTTTCTCTTTGCTGCTTCGTTTTGATTGTTTTCTTTCTTTACTTCTGCTAACTCGTCTCGTGTGTGTGTGTGGTGTTTGACAGTGTGTGTGTGTGTGGTGTTTGTCAGTGTATGTGTGTGTGTGTGGTGATCTTCTTACGCAAGCGATTTGATTACCTTATATCCGTTTATTTACCTAGGCGTGTGTGTGTTGTTGTTTGGTGGTGTATGTGTGTGTGTTGGTGATCGTCTCACGCAGGCGATTTGATTACCTGTGTTATATCCGTTTATTTACCTAGGTGTGTGCGTGTGTGTTGTTGTTTACCGCGTCGAAATAATTCGCCTCGCGCAAACAGGGATCGGGTTTTAATATCGAGGGCTGGAATCAAATGGCGAGTGTTGTGGTGAGGCAGACGGAGCTGGGCTGGTTGCATAAGTTGATCCCTAATGCATTGTTTTTTTTAATCCTTTGGATTAGGAGCGTCCCGGTTGGTATTTAAAGCAATAGAGTTTTAACATATGATAAGAGGCACACACATGTGACAAGGATCCTGATATTATCGAAGCATGCGTTTATGACTTAATGATGGCCGCTATATGTTGTTTGGTGGATGGCGTCTATCCATGGCTTGTTGGATGGCCTCAATGCATGACTTATTGGATGATATTTAGACATTGCTTGCAGATGATCTCTAATACGTTGTTTGTTGGATGGCCTGTATACATTAATTATTGGTGGCCTTCATACAACATTTGTTGGATACCTCGATACATGGTTTGTTGTATTGCCTATACATGTGGTTTATCGATGGCCTCTATAAGCTGTTTGTTGGATGGCCTCAACACGTTGTTTATTGGATGGCCTCTACACATGGTTTTCTAGATGGCCTCTACACGTTGTTTTTTTGATGGTCTCTACACATGGTTTATTAGATTGGCAATACGCTACACATGCAAAGTGGCCTTTACATCAGGCGTGTTGGATGGCCCTTACACCAAGTTTATACGGTCGGCCACCAATTATGTTAGCTGGCCCACACAGAGCATGTGGGGTTGTGGACCCCACAACCAAGTGTGTAGGGTCGGCCACCGGACATGTTAACTGGCCCACACATGGCATGTGTGTGGGGGGGGGGGGCGGACCCCACGACCCGACCTGTAAACAGTTAACGCCTCCTCCTGCCATTATTTATAAACCGCCGTAAACCTTATCGCATAACCCGAGCCCCAAAAATTTGACAAAAAACATTTTGTCAGGGGTGAATAACTCTACGAGCGGGACACCTTTTGCTGCGAGAGTTACGCTTATGAAAGATTGGTATATCGTCTTCTGACATGCGTAGAACAGGTGGCCAGGAGAAAGGTTTATTTTTATTTTTTTTTGACATAAATATTTAACCTGGTTTAGACATATTTTTATTTTGGGTAATTTCAAATCACATTTAGAGTTGTTTTTTTCAATTGAGTGCAATATTTTCTGCGATAATTATTTAAAGTTCCTTAAAATCAATTTGAATTGTTTTAGATGTAAATAATAATAATAAAAATTAGAAATAAAAATAAAATAACATCAATTACGGAAATGGTTTATTATGACATTTATATAATAAAAAACAAACAAAAAAAAACCCTTAAACTTAGCACGGTCTGCTATAGATTTTTGAAACTAACTTTTGTGATTCTGTTGGAACATGTATCACTTCATGAATTAGGAAGTTGTCTTGGAAGTTCTTCACGCCGTCGACTCCTTAGTGCGACTACGGAATAGAAATTTCATACATTCTGATTTACATTCTGATTGATTTTAATTAATTAATTATATTCTTCTCTTTTTTTTCTTCCACTCAGCCCTAGCCATGAGAAGGTGGGAAGCCCCGCCCTTCCTGAGGGTGGTGGCAGTTTTAGCGGTGCTGACGGCCACGGTGGCCGCAAGCAAGGGCCACCAGCAGGCCCTCGACAGCGCCTCGATGAACGCGGAGAACTTCATCTTCACGCAGCCGCAGTACAACGGTAGCATCTACGAGAACAGCATAGGGAAGGTGTACATCCAAACATCGCAGAAGATGGGGATCCGAACCGGGTACCCTTCGTCCATCAACATCGAGTTCACGATCGTCAGCGGCGACCCTCATAACGTTTTCATCGCCGAGACGACGCACGTCAAGGATTTTTGTTTTTTGAGGATCCGGATACAAACGTCGAGTTTCGGGAATTTGAACCGAGAGCTCAACTCAATGTTTTTTCTTCAGGTCAGAGCCAAAGGGTCGTACCCAGGGGAGGTGACCCTCGAGACGTTTACCAACGTAACGATATCGGTGCTGGATGTCAACGAGTTCAGTCCCATGTTTTCCAGCATACCGTACGAAATCAGCATTCCCGAGGACACGCCGCTGCACAGCAGCATCGGCGAGGTGAGGGCGTCGGACGCCGACAGCGGGATCAACGGTGAGATTTACTACAGCCTGGTTCAGGCCACGCTGGTGTTCGCCATACACCCCACCACGGGCGTCATCTCGCTCTCGCGGCCCGTCCGTTACGAGAATAAACAAGTCTACGAACTGGATATCCTTGCCGAGGACCGGGGGGTGACCGCCCCGGGGCGTATCTCCCCTAACAGCAAAACCAAATTTAAAATCAACATCCTACCTGTGAATTACAACTCCCCCGTGCTCAAGGTGCATAATCATCAGACTCTCATCGAAAACGGAAACACCGGGACCATTTTCGCGGTGTTAACGGTGACGGACGACGACCGGGGCAAGAGCGGAGTCGTGAACAACGTCACCATCACCAACGACCCGAAAAATATTTTCAGACTCGTGACCCAAAGCGCGCGCGGGATGTACAACATCGTCGTGGCCTCGCCCATCGACCGAGAAACGACCCCCGAGAACTACAACATCACCGTGATGGCGACCGATTCCGGGGAACCCCCGCGGTCCACATCTCTGGTGATCCCAGTGCGGGTGCAAGACGTGAACGACAACGCCCCTGAGTTTGAGCAGAACGTGTACACGATGGAGGTGTCTGAAGTCGTCCCCCACAACACACCTGTTTTGTTCGTCAAAGCTTTCGACAACGATATCGGATCCAATGCTGAAGTATTGTACAGTATCGTCGACGGGAATAAGAAAGAACTGTTCTCCATCGATCCAGTTTCCGGTTTGATTCGAACTTCCGGTGACCTCGACGCCGAAATCGACCCTCGGGTCATCCTCGTCGTGCAGGCTCAAGACCAGGCCAACACCGGTTCCAGAAAAACCGGACAGGCTAAAGTCATCATTAACCTAATTGATTACAACGACAACGCGCCGGATTTCAACAAGGCGCAGGAGATAGTCACCGTTCGGGAAAACCTGCCCAAGGGTTCTCGCGTTGTGACCGTCTCCGCCACCGACGAGGACAGCGGGGACAACGGGAAGCTGAGCTACAGTATCGTCAACTACGACAAGGTACCGTTCGAAATCGACGCTTTCTCCGGGGAGATAACGACCACGGAGGTGCTGGACTACGAGACGATGAGGCGGAGTTACCAGCTCCACCTGCGGGTGTCCGACTGGGGGTCGCCCTACAAGCGGGAGGAGGAGATGGTCCAGGTGATTCGGGTCGAGGACATCAACGACAACGCCCCTTTAATGGAGCAGAGTCGCTGTTCCGGTTACCTGTCGCGCGACTCGCCTCTCATGGCCGACGTGGTCACTCTTTCCGCCATCGATTTCGACTCGGGGAATCTGATCACGTACAGCATCACGGACGGCAACGAGGACGATTGTTTCAGCATCGGGCCTTCGTCGGGTATCATAACGGTCAACTGCGACGTGGCCCGACAGACGGAAGGGAAGCGTAGCCTGCAGGTCGTGGCCAGTGATAGCCATCACGTGTCCATCCCGGCGCTGGTCGAGCTGACCCTGGTCAACAGTAAGATCAACACCGACGTGTCCACCGACCCGACCAGGGTCACGTGTGTCAGGACGGACGCCCTCGCCCGTTACGAACAGCTGGTGAGGAACTCGTCGATAGCCAACTTGGACCCACAGATCGTCGTGCTCAACAGAAACAACAAACCCAAAAACAACCCACCCGTCGTTTCTAATTCCTTTATACCACGCGCGGACGTCTACGAATCCGCACCCGTCGGAACTGCGGTTCTAGACTTCGGGGCGTTCGTTTCAGACCCGGATTCCGGCTACGATGGTCAGTTGAAGTACGTCATTTCCGGCGGGGACGACCACCGCGGTTCGTTCAAGCTGGACAGCTTCACCGGGAAGCTGGTGGTCTTCTCGGGGCTGGACTACGAGCTGAAGACCGAGTACTCCCTGACCCTCACGGCCACTGACATGGGGCAGCCCTCGCTGTCGGTCTCGGTCGATGTCAAGATCAACATCCGCGATGAGAACGACAACGTGCCCATGTTTGAGCAGTCCGTGTACGTTGTCAGCTTAAAGGAGGACGCGTTGGTCGATGCGGTGGTCATTCAGGTCCAAGCCAAAGACCTGGACACAGGCGACAACGCGGACATTCGTTACTCCATAATATCAGACGACCGGGATTTCTACATCGATCCTTTAGAAGGGATCGTTAAAGTTAAACGCAATTTGGATCGCGACTCCAGACCGTACCAAACCCTCGTCATCCGCGCCGAGGACTACGGTTTAAAAACGAGGCTGGCGTCGACCACCGTCGTCAACATCACCATCGAAGACGTGAACGACAACCAACCCATTTTTGTACCGGGGACCTACCATGTCCGCGTCCGCGAGGACTTGCCTGTTGGCACCATCATCACGACCTTGACCGCACACGACCTCGACGAGGGCGAAAACGGCCGAGTGGAGTACTCGTTCGCGCACGGGATCGACAACTTCTTCGAAATCGACAGCCTGACGGGGTCGGTCCGCATCAAGCGGAAGCTGGATTACGAGACGAAGCAGGTGTACAACATCACCGGGGTGGCGCAGGACGGCGGTCAACCGGCCTTGACCTCCATCTGCTACGTTAGCATCGAGGTGATGGATGTGAACGAGAACATGTACTACCCCGTGTTCCCCGACTTCCTGGCCCGGGGGTCGGTCAGCGAGAACCTGCCCATCGGATCTTACGTCATGTACGTCCAGGCGACCGACCGGGACGGACCGAGCAACGGCATCGGTCAGGTGTTCTACACCATACTGGACGGGAGTGGACTAGGTAGATTTACCATAGACATCAATGGTGAGTACATGTTCATTGTTCTCCCTTCCCTTCTTAAATATTATAGTGGGGGTGGGGGTGGAAGAGGGAGGGGGCATTGGAATCCTATTTATGTGTTGAAGGAATAAATAATCCACACTATCGATTTTAAAATAATATTTAAAAAAAAAATATTTAGCTTAAAATGTTTGTGCCTCGACCCCCATTCCCCACCCCTCACCCTTTAAAAGAAATCAAGATCTGGGACTGGAATTCTCCTGAGCTCGCTATAAACTGAAGATATCCTTGATTCTATTGCCAAACTGTCATCTGATTAAATTTTCTGATTTTTTTTTTAAAGTTCACCCTCATCCTCGATTCCCCCTCTCCTCTTCTCCTCGTTAAAATAACATTCAAATCTTTATTTATATCACGACACATCTCACCGCCACGAAGATAGGCTTTCAAAGCGAATAACTCGATTTATTTTCAGCCCTCGCGACTTTCGGCGAGTCAGATTATATTAATCGCACCCAACGTCTCGAATCGTTTTTTTGGCTCTCGATGCTTACAAACATAAACCTCGGAAATGGATTTTCCCCCTTCCCTCCTTTTGTGCATCGCGTGTTAAAAGTTTGGTTTAATTGGCATTAGAACGGAACTTTATAATTTTTTTAAAACCCCTCTGTTGAAGTGCGGGGGGATAAAGTTGAGTTCATTAGAAATTTAATTGTTTCTGGAATGTTTTTTTTTTTTCTTCTTAAAGATGCCCGGTGTCAGACATTTGAAAATAATAAAAACACTAAAATAAATAAATAAATAATGCAGTTATAATACAGTACACGGGCTAAAGATAAAATATATTACCGCCAGATATTCGTTATTGTAGCCCAATCTGTTTAAAAACTAAATATTTTAATACTTTAATTTTTTAATTTTATCTGAAGATGTGATGAAATGTATTACCTACGTTGATATGTTTTATACCTTATAATATCGTTGATGCCATACTATAACAAACAAACATAGTTAACTATCCATGTCACCACTTTAATCGGAATGACGAAACATTAAATCTCATCTTGGGGAAGTATCAATAAATTATACCTTGCGAAGACCTAATGTCGAAACGCCAATGCTCAGGGTCATTGCTGAAAAGTGTTTTTTTTTAAATATGTTTAGTAGGCCTATATTTTCTTTTTGCCAGTTGCCCAATACTGCACATAATTTGTGCCTATTGTACCATATTCTCCAAAATTCATTATTAAAATTACAGTAACATATCTACGTTTCCATGGCAACAATTGTTCCCAAAAAATCCTTTGCAGTCCATTGTTTTCTTCACTTCTGCGACCGAGCGCCGCGTCGAGTGCCTTAAAGTATGACGTGCCACAATCTGCCACACCTTGACCCCGTGAACCAATCGTTGTCCACTTTTCAAAAAAAAAAAAAAAAAAATCCTATCTAAACACACCGGCTCATTCCGGAGCAACGCGTACGATAACGAGACTCTTGACTTTGTTTCTAGCCGATACGAGCCGCGGGCCGAGGGCGTCCTGCTAATCACAACTTCAAAGGGCGGGCAGTACCTCGAGTGGTTTTCTATACACGAGTTTGTGTTGGGAACGGTAAGACTGTGGTCCCTGCTTGGTCATCGTCCAGCGGTACAACTTCCGGTGGACGGGCTACTTACCGATAGTGGCCCGATGCGTCGTGGGCTGAGATAAAAACAAAAGTATTAACGGTTAATCTTAGGACGGTCTAGTTACAGAGGGTTGAACTTGTAAAACCTCGAGTGTTCAAATTTTTTAAAAAAAGTTAAAAAAAAAATTCTGTCTATTTACCGAGTTTTTTAAAATTTGTTCAAATTATAAAACTAATCTTATTTTCAAAAGGTCTAATGACCGGTGATGAACGAGTATAACTGCAAGTGTTCGATTAAATTTTTTTTTCAAAACGCCTTAATACCGAAGATAGAACATACAAAATAGCCTACCTGTGAAATACATTTTGTTGGCGTTAGGAAGTTAAGGATGGCAGTAAAATAAAGCACACATAGATCTAGTACTAGGTAGCAATAGTTCATTAACAATTTTATTTACACGGTTTAGCGAGTATTCCTAAGTAATGGCTTAGAGGAGCCCACAATTACAATGTAATATGAAACAGACCTTCTCATCCCCGCTGAGTCAAGTGTTTTAACCATGTTTTCATTTGCAAACGAAACGCACCACATTTTTCTTGTTTTTATATTTATTATCATGCCTTTTGGGTCGGATGTTTATTTAGCTACATGACCGTCTACACTCCCCACTCTAATTCCCCCCCCCCCCCCCACCTTTAGTTTGGTGAGTCGAGCAAGTCCAGAAGGTGTTAGGAAAAGTCGTGTTATCTCTCCCAGCGTTTTGCTCACACGGTGCTCTGGACCGATGACCTTACCCGAACCCCAGACACACTCAGAGCCTTACTGCTAACCTTGACCTTGACCATAATCCTAACCCTGACCGTAATCTTAGCTCTGACGGAACCCTAGCCTTACCGTATACTAAACCCCGAGACACAGATACAATACTGAATTGCTCTAGAAATTTCGTGTTTGACTTGGTAAGGTGACGACGGGGTGTATAATATGTGGAGTTTGTAAGTTAACTTCAGCGTCAATGTATTTGTTTAGCTTTTTGTGAATCATATTCAACCTAACACAACATGCAAGTTACAAATGACAAGTTTCACAACTTTCACAATTGCCACAAATTATCCCTCGTTTCTAAGCTCGCGTATTTCTTCATCATTTCCGCTACACAACCTGAGTCTGGCAAGTTCAGACATTCCAGTCTATCGCCTGCATGTTTCCGCAACCCCACCGTCTGCATGTTGCCACAATCCCCCCCCCCCTCCGTCTACATGCCCCCACAGTCCACATACCCCACTGAGTTCTCCACAGACAACAATACACCTGCCCAGGCGCGAATGTCAGACTTTATTGTTGCTCTCGCGGGATGCCGGCGTGTAGCAATACAATGGAACCACTGACATGAACCTCAGAGTTAAGCTCGTTTAACCTGTTACTGTTAGATGGTGTTTCGCTTGCTCATTAGTAGGTTAAATCAAGTCAGTTTTTAGTGGTTTATTAAAATTTTACTTCTCTAATTTTGCCTTGTTTTTACCTCACCCCGCTCAACCTCTGCACCAATAATAAATTAAAATGTAAAGAGTAATTAACTGGCAACAATAAAAATATTATATAAAGTCCATGTTTAAAACAGTACAAAGAGGCACTCGACTGATATATATATATATATATATATATATATATATATCTCTATAATATAAGCGGGCTGTGTCTGTCCGTCCGTCATCGCTATAGATTTTGGGACTATAAAAGTAAACTATGCACCATACTGTGCTTTTCAGTGCACCGCAGAGTCTTATTATAAGAAATAGAATAGGGTTTGTTTATATAACGATATAGAGCTATTTTATAATTGCCACTGTTTTTACTTTTTTGCATAACGTAAAGAGAATATTAAATACACGCACACTGCTAAAACATATTAAAAGTATTAATGTCAAATATCATTTTCGTTTATATTCCCAGAAAAAGTAGATACGTTTCAATAACATAATAACAGTACGGTAGAAAAATCAAATTAATTTAACTCTTTTTTCTAATTTTGACAAAGGAGGTAATTTAAAAATACATTAAACTCACGCTAATAAAAAAATGTGAATGCAAATATAAGTTCGTCATAGAAGGAATTAGTGTTGCAATAATATAATTAGCAAAATGTGAATGCAAATTATTCGGATGTGTAAGAGGAAATTATTGTTAGAAAATTATAATTAGCATGGATTAATAAAAGGCAATCTTTTATTTATTTTATTCACTAAATGTAGGCTCTACTGTTTATTACTTTTAATTTTTAATCAACTATTCAGCACTATTATAGACGCGTCATCACGTTCATTAGGTGCGCAATGGTTTTAGTTATGAAACTCTATTGTAAATTTTTAAAATTTAAAGTACTGGGAAAAAATGCGTGAATGGATAAAGTGAAATATTGTAGGTAAAACACGGATATTTTAAATACTGCCTATTATTTACATGTTTACTAATTATTATTCTATCTTTCTGTTTGCGGACAAGCTAGGGGTTTTATAGGAGAGGCGTAGCGAGGGGGGGGGCATATGTCCCCGGGTGCCAACCTTAGGGGGCGCCAAAGTGGGTTGGAAAAAATTTGCGAGGGGGGGTGGTGGAAATCGAAAGTTTTAGGGCGGGGGGGGGGGGGGGAACGGGGGTGCAAATCACCGAAAAGGGCGCGATTTGGCGCTACGGGCTAGACTGTGAGCAATATGCCTTTATGATTGCATTTAAATTGTGTTTATGTTATGAGTGTTGTGTTTGTTTTTTCGTTTGTGTTTTTTTTTTTGCGTTCGTTTGTGTTGTGTTTAGTTTTGTCCTGTTCCCAAGTTGGTACATTTAAAAAAGATTTACCGTGGCGGAGCACGGGATGCAGCTAGTATATATATATATATCTATAATATAACGCTGCTGGTAGTGTGTCAGTCCTTCCTTCCTTCCTTCCGTCATCGCTATAGCTTTTGGAACCATAAAAGTAAACATTCGCACCATGCTGTGCTTTTCAGTGCACCGCAGTGTCTTATTATAAGTATTAGAGTAGGGTTTGTTTATATAGCGGCATAGAGTTATTTTATAATTGCCACGGTTTTTACTCTTTCGCATAACGTCAAGAAAATATTAAATACACGCAAACTGCTAAAACGTATTAAAAAGATTAATGTCAAATATCATTTTCGTTTAGGCTCCCAGAAAAAGTGGATACATTTTAATAACATAATAACAGCAGGGTAGAAAAATCAAATTAATTTAACTCTTTTCTAATTTTGACAAAGGAGGTAATTTAAAAATACATTAAACTCACGCTAATAAAAAATGTGAATGCAAATATACGGTCGTCATAGAAGGAATTAGTGTTGCAATAATATAATTAGCAAAATGTGAATGCAAATTATCCGGAAGT